TGATAGGACACTGTGGGCGTGTATGTGTTTCCACTCTGTCTGCGTTCTCTGAAGAATGATGTAATGCAATAAGAAATGCTAAATGCACCATTTAGAAATGAAAACAGTGTGCATTTAAAAGGAAAGATGCAGTTGTTTAACGAAGAGTCCCATCAATTTCTGCATAATTAAATAGTTAAGATGCAAATTCAGGTGCTTTGTCAAAAAATACGTTGTTCTAGAGAAATGTAGTAAGTCAGAATTGTTCACAGTGATGGCAATAAGAACCAGAAGTCTGGAAAGTTTATTGCAACTAAAAGCTACATACAAGTTATTACATGAAGAGGTTATGAATAAGATGTCTGATGCCTGGGACGTTGTTCTACAATAGTTTGAGACAACGTTTTAGCTTAAAATGTTTTTTTTTTCAATACATACATGGCAGAAAGGTACGTGCAGGGTCTTCTAAGACAAAATAGTTCCCAAAGAAGACTCCACTATTTTACCATTAATTAACATTACATATAAAAGCTCAGAAGACATGTGCAGGTTCACTGATGGTTTTAGATCAGTGGTCACCAACCCTGGTCCTGGAGAGCTACCTTCCTCCTGAACTTGAATACATCTGATCCAGCCATTCAGGGACTTGGTAAGAGGTTGATTAGCTGGCATGAGTGTGACAAATTGTGGTTGGAACTAGGCTCTGCAGGAAGGTAGCTCTCCAGAACCAGGGTGGAGACCATTGTTTTAGATTGTAAATAAAATGGCTTAATTTCTATCTTAGACATTACAACCTCTGGTTCCTAGCACCACCACTGTAAAGTAATCTGAGTTGGTAGGTTTCTCTACAATGAACCATTTCACATCTGACCAGCCTGAATGATACTGTTTACATCTCACCAATGTAATTATGCAGAGAGAACACCTTGTGGAATACAGGCAGGAAAACAAGCAAAGATATAGAGAGACTTTTGGAGGAGAAAGAAAGTGTGTTGAGAAAATTGTTGATGGAGAACAGACTAACGTTTTTTGGTGGATCATAGAGAGAGAGATGTTGAAGGAGAAAAGGAAGACAGCTGTGAAATGAGGGAGAGAGAGAGAGAGAGAGAGAGAGAGAGAGAGAGAGAGAGATGTTGAAGCTGCAGGAGCTCATCAGCATTCCCCGAGCTAATTCAAAACAGCAGGATGACGAGACAGCACTGCAGATGAGTTACAGCTGTGTACCATCAGCACTGCCCAATGTGCACTCAGCTGGAAACACACACACAAGTAGAAATAAACAATACCTTGACCTGTTAGATTGGGCTCTGTTAGTAAAGATGTCACCTTTTGTGCCTCAGAATTCCACATGTTCTCAGATTAAACCACTTCCAGATTTATTCTCTGCAGAGCCTACAGAGCACTTCACACTCAGCAACCCAAACAGAGCCGCAAAATTCCTCACTGTGTAGCTTATAATCAGCTCAGAAGTCTGTGTAATATATTATTTGTCAATTGTTATCTTGATATTGCTGTTTGTAATAGTCATGTTGCAGAAAGTTGCAATATGCACATAAGTCCTCTAACCCAGTTTGTCCTGGATTACAGACCCTGTTCATTTAAGTGCTTTACCTGCTTTAACACATCTACTTCAGCAGGGTTGGAATGTAATGGAATAGAAACATACAGAACATATATTCAGAATACAGAAATTAAATGTCTTACAAGATACACCTTGGAAACTAAATTTCCCTAATAAATTTCTAAAATATATCATCTTCAAAAGAAACATCAAAGCTTGACTGTGGACTCTTTCTACACAGTGTGTAAAGATGTACTCTAAAGAAGAATTCAAAAAAAGCACTGAAGTTCCTGCTAAAGCCTGAGAAGACTGATAAATCAATGTGATGAGTCAGTTGTTAACCTCAGCTTTACCAGACTCTTTTGAGGGATTGAACATGTTCACAAGTGATACGTGGAGCATTGTACTGGACTTCATTCGTTTCATGGCAAGTTACATATCCATATATGACATAGCTACTCACTTTGTAGTCAAATTTGCAAGAGTAGGATTAGGAGAGCAGCAGTTGACTGAAGTCTGAAGACTGAAGAGAATAATGTTGAGAATTTTGTAAATTCATTTAAATTCAAGTGAATTTTTCATGAAAAATATGAATAGAAAAATGACATGAAGGAAACTTCCAACCGGTAAAAATGAGGAACAGTGTGAATTCAATAACAGTTACAACAGCAGAGGTGTTCCCCATGTGCCTTATCAATATGTATTCTAAATGTATTCTGAATGGTGCCTTTTACATATTGTAATTGTATTGTATTGTTGGAATATGTTACTGAATAGATTTAGCATGATGTATTCAGTCTGTCACCACTTTAGCTAAGGAAGAGTTTGTTATTAAGCTGATTATTTGGATCAGTTATGTTGGGAGCAGAAAAAGCACAGCGTGCATATATATATATATATATATATATATATATATATATATATATATATAGATTACACTGCAATCTCAATATGAAGCAGTATAATCACAATATGGAATTTCATCCTAATTGTGCAGCCCCACTGTTTGTATCTGTTTGTGTGTGTATGCATGCTTTGTATATGTAATAAAGTTGCTAAGAGTGTGTTTGGAGTGGTTCTTGGCTTGCAGCACACACTCTGGCTATGTTCATGCTAATACAGAGATAAACATGCATTAGATGCACAAATACACTCTCATTACTCCATGCACACCCATCCCCTGGAATCCTTCTCTTGGTGGGATGCCATGCAGGCAGACTGAAAAACTGTTGAAATGCGTGGATGTACATGGGAGTGTCCGTATCTGTCTGCTGGTCTGTTTTTGTTTTGTTTTGTGTTCAAATGTGTGTGTTTGTTTTTGTATATTTTGAGGATAAAAAATGTCCTGGCTTTTATAGGAAAATGCAGAAAACAGGAGTAACACCCTTCACAGAGCAGCACATGGCCCTGCCCTTGTAACGTGTGTTTTTTTGTTAGTATCCTTCTTTAAGAAAGGGTAAAGCCAGGGGTGCAAATTTGGTCTGACAGGTTGGGGGGAACAAATGTCAGGAGGCCAAAGCTTGGGTGAAAGCTCTGACCTGTTCACATAAGCGCTGAAATGAAAAGCAACACAAAGGATATATTAACATTAACAGAGACTATTTTTCCTTCAACTTACCTTTAGAGTCATTTTCCTGCAACTTTCCTAGAGCTTCCACCGTGACATCATTTATGGTGCCAAAATAGTATCATCTGTGTGGGGTGTTTAATGTAAAAAAATCACTTTCAAAAATAACTCTCATTAAAAAGGGTGGTAGGGGAGTGGTCAGAGTTGCATGCCCCCTCCAACCCCCACCCTCCTTATTTTACACCAGTTGGCAAAACCAGTTATTTTTCGTGTAAATAAATGTCATATATAATGTCATATAAATGTCATATATAACACTGTCATATAAGGAGAAAAATCATCTGCACAGTACACAAAGTACTACTATCACCCCAAGGGATTTCTAGTTGTATGATAGCACTTAGCTGTGCTGGTGCACTTGAACCATTCTAGATCATACAGTTTTATAGTCCTTACTTTAATAAAGAGAATTTTCCATTTTTAAAGTGACCAGATTAGAGCACTGCTTATATTCAAATTCAGTGACTTATCTAGGATTTCCAGAAGGCTTAGGATCACATTGTTTCTAACAAAATTGCTTGTAAATCAAAAACATGATTATTTGATACACATCTTAATTGTGTTAATCTAAAGTGTAAATCTTTTAGTCCAGCTTCTGAAGGCCTAGCCATTGAGAGAGCTTGCTTGTCTGTATATATCTGGATGCCACAGGGGAAAAAACATTCTGACTGAATATTTTTTCCATTGGCTGTTTTAAACCTTTTGTTTCTAAACAAACTTAATAATGAAATAATGAGTATTTAAACTGGCAGAGTTCAGATACAACAAGCATGATAATTCCATTTAATAAAAATTAAAAAAATTACAGAGTTTTATTAGTTAACAGAAATCATTAAGTCTTTTCTGAAAGTCGAGGGTTCCCCACTAGGGGTGTGTTGTCCATTTTCAGCTCATGTTGAAAAATCAAATGTTAAGTGAACATAATTCATGTTTTAATTGGACAAGGTTTTATAATTGTGTGGTATAGTATGTTCACAGTACAAGTCTGGTACGTTTATTACTGCTGTCTGTATTTTGACTATTCTGTCTGTTATGGTCTTTCAACTTTTTGTGGCTAAAAGTCTGTTTATATTGTCTGTTAATCCTGTTTTTGGTGATTTCATATATTTAGTGTTATTTGTTGAATGCTATGCTTAAGGTGTTTTTGAACAGGCTGATTGTGATAGGGTTTGGCTGATTTTGTGCTGTTTATCTCTAGATTGATGTGCTTGATGCCAATAGTATGCACTGACCAGCTGTTTTGTCATGTGTTTCTGTTGTGTGCACCTTGTGGATCTGGTTTGTAACTTATACTGACTTACATTTAGCAGCTCTAGTAGATTTTGTGTGCATCATTGGAACTTACATAAATCATGGTTACGGAAACAGTTACTTGAGGAATATTTGTTTCATCAGCAACAATGTGAATAAAGGCAAAAAGGAGGCAGTGGAGCTGTGAAAGAGTGGAACTGTAGCATCAGTGACACTGTGTGACCAGAGGTCAGGAACATTCCTGCGCTAGGGTAAAGTGATCCTGCAGAGTGTGCTGCATAATCAGTGACCGCAGCCTTAAACAGAGTCCTATTCACTGAGGACATCCACTCACATACAGATACTCACTCACACAGAACAAGTGAAAGAGTGAGACAGTGAGAGAGAGGCCCTGGTTAGTGGACAAGGGAAAGAGACAGCACACCTGTCTTTTTTCCCACAGGCCCTTATTTTATATATTTATACCTACGTGCCGCTACAGATTCACATCACTCTGTGTGTGTGTTTGCTGCAAACCTGCAAATATATGTTATGTTCTACTTCTGAGGACTCCTCTGACCTTTGCTCCCTGTGGCCCTGCAGGCAGGAGATAAGCACTACCACCCCAGCTGTGCACGATGCAGCCGGTGCAACCAGATGTTCACGGAGGGGGAGGAGATGTACCTGCAAGGTAGGTGAAGCAGCTGATACTGTACAAATGAGAACCACCTAACTCTTAAACAGTGTTAAACTGCTTGTACGTCCTCAGAGATGTTCTCAGTTTCTTCATCTATGCTTGGATTCTTTACCCTCTCACAACAGCTGTCCTGTTCTTTTCAGTTCTGTTTGGAGTGCTTTATTGGCAGCGCTTTATTGTTTCTATTTTTATGCCAGTTGAAAATACCAGCCATCCTTTACGTTATGTGAACGTTTCATGACGACCAACCAAAAAAACAATGGTCTAAAATTTGTTAAAAACAAATCTGTTTACACTAACATACATAAGACATTGAGGTAAGATATTAAGGTTATTAGCTCGTGCTGCAAAAATGACACGAGTGTCTGTAAAGACTATGCGAGTGGAACAGCACTGACATGCACTGACTAGAGCTGAGTTTAACATACTGAGAAAATAAAACATTAAATACAACTTTTGCACAGGCCAAGGTGTTTTTCCCCCCTGTATGTTCAACAGATAAACAGTAATTGTGCATTAATGTGTGCAGAAGTGTGTTCTCTGTAGATGTGTTAACTTATTTTCACTTAGAAAATCAAAACAATATGTTAGTTGTCCAGGCCCAAACTTGTACATACAACTTTAGTACAAAGACATTTATGTTGCTGAAGCCTGAGTTGAAAAGTTAAAATAATAAATAATCTCTCCCTCTAGGCTCAACAGTGTGGCATCCAGACTGTAAGAGCAACACCAGAGTAGAAGAGAAGTACAGGGTGAGTGTCAGCTCATCTAATCATCCATTCACACCCTCAACTTTCACTCGCCTCTCTTTCTACTTGCCTCCTCAGTTTAGCAGCAGAAGGCACAGAGAGCCCACCTCCTTCTCCACAAACCTCCCCAAAACCCCTCTGTGGTGTCTCTCCTAAAGTTTGTTCTGGAGTTGGTGGTTCTATCTCTCAGAGTTAGGTGGTGTGTCTGAGGGCAGTGTGAGTAGATGTGTCAGTGTGTGTCCTCTCGGTTCTACTTCTTCTCTCTAGGCAGTGCGGCAGCGTCCAGGGAGAAAGCCCAGTCCCCTTGATATCTTTTTCCCTCTATCTCAGTGTCAGCCTCAGTGTAAGAGCCAGGGCAGCGGCGGCTCTCGGTGGTCTGCAGGCAGGCCGGAGGTTTGCAGTCTCCTGTTGCCCCATCGCCCTGCACCGCTTCCTGCTAACCTCACTGTCCTGCTTCACCTGAAAGCAAGACCATGGAGCTGCAGTGTGTTCTTTTAGAACTTTTCCAGCACAGCGGAGGAGCAAGACACAGGCACACACACTTAAACCCACACAGTGTGCCTTCCCTTCACCAGTGGTTCTCAACCCGATGTGGGATGGGTGTTTGTGATAGCGTTTTTAAATTGGGAGATTTTTTTGTGAAATCTCTCAATGATGTTGTCCCTATAGACAAAAGTAGAGTGGCTACATGAGTGAATTTTAGACCCTTTCAGTTCCAGAAACTGTGGGGGTGACTATGATTCCAAATCTGATGGGAATCAATGAAGTCGATTCCACTGAATCAATTTTTTTTAATTCTCAATTCCAAAAATCAGGACATAAAAAAGAAACATGGCAAAATAAAAAGTACAACATTAATTACGGTCTTAATATACCATTATGATTTATGTTATGATTGACAAAGGATCTTAACATAATAACTTAATGTATTCCCACCTCAGTTGTTCCATAGGGATGCTACCCTGCTGAAAAAAAATATCTTAGACCAGTATGAATTCCACGCTAGTTTTGCTGGTTTATGCTGGTCTGGTGCTGGTTTAGCATACCAGCATCCAAAACACAACATATACTGGTTTTGCTGGTGATCAGCATAGCAACTTTTATTGTTGCTGACTAACATAAGCAGCAGGGAGACAAAAACTATGTAAAGTAGCAACACAGCATGTGTTTACAATAGAAATGGACTACAGAACCATTATTCTAGTGCTGTGAAGTCCATGTCTCCTGTGTGGAGAACCTTCGAAGGTTGGGAACCTCGAAAAGGTTGAGAACCACTGCTCTACACCAAAGACAAAGTGTTAGCTTGCACTCTGCTATGCAAAGCTAATAGTAAGATAATACTTTACATAAAGTCTTCATAACCACAGGAGACTTATGATTTGTGTCATTTATGTTTCATGTAAATCGATAACCATCCCATCTGTCTTTCAAAAGCATTCAACTGTAGGACAGTGCATGCACAGGAAAGAGAGCGAAGGAGATAAAAATCTTTGTAATGTTTGAATATGGTGGATTGAGGTAGATCTACCAGTGCATGGTATATATAGCTGAGGTTGATCACACAGCAGTGTGTGATGTGTGATCTTGTGTGACCCCTCTTCCTCCCTCCACAGCTCCTCCCTCCCTCTGTAACCTCACTGCACCAATCAGAAAGGCAGGTACTGTATTCTGCTACTGGCAGCAGAGTGGGGCATGTATCATGCAGCTCCCGCACAGCAGAGGGCGCCAGTCTTTGCCCTCGTAGCAGCCTGTGCCAGTCATTTGCTGTGTCTCAAATCGAGTACCTTTATGTACAAGCCACTTTTAGTGCGTTCACTGTGGAAAAGAAAACAAGATGTAGTTTACTGTCGGTATCTGGATGATGCACTAGAATAGCTGAAAAAACATGGCATTACATTCAGCCGTCGCAGGCTGTCAAACGTAGCAGGAGGGGAGGAGCCATCAGAGGCCACCTCAGTCTATTTTCAAAATGCCCAGCACACTCAAAAAGACTACTAACGGACATTAGGAGCAAAAAGTTTTTGAAATTTGTTTGTATAGAGTCTATTCAGGCATGTTTCAGTGGTGTGAGCTATAGTGGGGTAGTGAAGTGTAAAACGTTAGTGTTCGAGTTGATACAATATTACCTAATGAAGTCCAAGTACTAGTTTGTATCACCCATGTTTTGTTTATTTTTTGGTCAAAATGGCCATTAAGGACAAATTAATGCTTTTTTCAGGAGATATTTCTGAGCAAATTAGATATAAATAATCCACTTGCATAAGGAAGAATAAAGTCAAACTATTTAACAGTATTCTACATAGTGTAAAATGTAAGAATGTACTACATAGTGGCCGAATTGAGACACAGGGATTACGCTTTGTGCCACCACAGACATTTGATCGCGGCCCACCGCCCCCCCTCTGCCTTGATAGGAGTAAAAGCAGTCTGACTCATTGCACCAACTGGACTCAGATATGAGCTCACTCTGCACACTCAGCCAGAGATGCTGACCCCAAATAAATTATACTACTCCGCAGTAAATTACTCCCAGAGAGTGCTGTAAGCTGTCATGTAGCTATTCCGAAACCTCATTCTGATTTTAGCAGCTCCGCTGAAACCTTTACTGAGAGCCATATCTGAAGAGCCATGCTGCATGGGCTGTGGAGTATGGATGGCTTGAGGCGGCTGGTGAATGTTTCAATATGTAATTGCACTGAAAATTAGAAAATAAATGGCTGTTGGCACTGCTGTTGTAATCTTGGCTTGGATGTTAACTCAAACATGTCATTGAAGATTAATGGAATACTCCACTGTTTTTCAGCCTAATCTCTATCTACCACACCTGTGTCTTACTCTTGATTACCTCAGTATAATTTCAACAAGATTCCCTGTACTTAGAAAACAACAGAACAGCTATTAAAACACTTACAACAGGAGCTAATGGGCAGCTGCTGAATTCTATTAAAAATGTTTAAAATATGTGACTATATGAAGAGAACTTTAAACTGTAATCGTTAAACGATGTCAGCAGCAATGGAAGCTGTTATGTTGATCACAGACATAATCAGCATATGCTGTTTTTGGATGCTGGGATGCTAGTCAGTCATTTGCACACTATCTATAGTGATAAATCACAGAAATTTGGGCTTTTTTATTGTAGCTTGTTGGAAAACATGTGGGCTAACTATTTCATTATGTGGTAACACAGTGTAGGTGTTGTGCATTGTTAAAATGACAGATTGTCCTACGTGGTCAAAATAGGTCCCTACATAAAACTATAACGAAGACCTTTTGATAGCCTGTCATCTTATCAGAGGGGAAGTAATATTAACTTAAGTCTGTAAGTTCAGTAAAGCTGAATTCACATTAAAAGCACAATAAAACATTAGAACAACAAATTACTGTACTATTCTAGTGATATATGCATGTGCAGTAGGACTGCCTGATTGGTAGGAAATTGTAAGAACCCATGTCACCAAAATTTTCTAGCGGAAACTTTGCTAAGGTTGTCGCGAATCCATGCACAATCAGTCAGGAACTCCATCCACACCGTTACATTGGCAGCTCATTACAACAGATGCTTCCTCCTGGAGGAAAAGTCCTTTCCATAGAAGAAAGAATTATATAGACTTACTGCTTTCTTTTTTTCAGGAAAGTGTTCTACAAGATATGTGATTTAAATAAACATTTAGTGACAGGAATTCAGCAGCTGCCTAGTTGGCCTTTAAATGTATTTTGAATAGAACATCCAGCACAGAAAATGGGTTTTCTGTAGAGGTGTGTTGTGAAACGTCAAAATTATTGTTGATGGTAATTGATTTTTTGCTACAGATGTGGCAGACAGAGATTAGGTTGAAAAAAGTAAGTCAGTGTGAGTATGTTTTGGAGTAAGTTTGGTTGGTCACTAACACAGCGTCTTGTTCCCCCGTAGCCCACAAGATCTTCGTCTGAGAGTATCTGTTCTCGACCTGGCTCCAGCATCCCTGGCTCTCCGGGTCACACCATCTATGTGAGTCCCACTCGCCGGCGCCCTCTATCACTCCCTGAGCCCATCGGAGCCATTCACCGTTCAGTCCCAAACGGATTTTGAGGCTGAGGCTGCAGGATCATTTGTTCTCTTTTGTCTTATTCCCCTGCGAACAGTCTCCAGCTATATTTGCCTTGAGTTGTGGATATCCATCCTGCTCCTACAGACACATTATTAAATACATATCTATACACACACAAAAATGAATATAAATCCAATTTAGAAGACATTTTAATGAGAAGTAGGCCTCACAGCTGAAAGGTTATGGACTTAAGCCTCATATGAAGCTGTATTCATATATATTTATATATTCAAAAGACCATTACAAGCAAAATCATACCTACACAGTATTAGCTCACATCTGCAGTGTCTTTATCCTCTTTGGTGACCCACGTGAAGTGCTGTAACTCTGTTTGGATGTGATGTGGATCTGTTTGATCCCTAGCCTGACCTTCCTCCTTCCTGTCCACACTCTTTCCCTGTGTCTCTCCATCTGTGTGATCCCTCTCCCTCTTTCCCTCGCCTTCTTCCCTTCTTTCTTCCACCTATTCTCCCTCCAGGCAAAAGTAGACAATGAAATCATTGATTACAGGGACCTAGCAGCCATCCCCAGGGTCAAGGCCATTTATGACATAGAACGTCCAGACATGATATCCTACGAGTCTCTCCACTCCACCTCCTCTACCCTGGACAGACAGGGCAGACACAGCCCTGGAGAGGTAATGCAAAGCTACTGTCACCTAGCCTGCCGAATGCATGCTTCGATTGTAGTGCTCCAGACGTAACTCTTTAATGGCAGTGTACTTTGGTAGTATTGGAGAGCCTAACAAAATGGATAATAGCACATAAGACGGGCTGACATTTAAAACATTGTTTTAGAAATTGCAGTTCTACAGTTTAAGGGGAACAAAAATAATGGTAAACCCTAAGAACATTTGGCATAAAAAAAGACGTCATAGGTCTTTAGGTCAGTTGCTAAAAGCTGTCCCTCCAGGGTGTTGCAATCACAGATTTATGCAAATTCAACAGATTCTAACAATATTTGCAACAGCTCACAATTTTGTCCAGTCATTAACATTCAAAAATGTTCAAAAACTGCCTCCACACTGATTATAAGCATACAGCTTTTGTGATACGTTTGTAATTCATGCAAGATTCAAATTTGGCAACAGATATTTCAGTTAAAGGCCAAACAAACCAACTCCCAAATTTTTTACATGAAAGTTGAATGGTAACTCTTTTGACAACTGAAATTGGACAGTTGACTCTCATATTTCCACCATACAACTCTAACTTCTTGATTGTTGTTAAGAGCGTTAGATGGTTTAGAATTAGCATTACTGTATATTCTGAATATGCTTTTTTCAGAAACTAACCAAGCTACATTTTAAAATGAGGTTAAATAAATATAGCAGACGGACAATCACACATTTTCTATCATATATATCTTTATTGCAACCTTTTACAGTCCAAAACACAAAGTGAAAATATTGCTGCACGTTCAGAGAATAAAATGCTGCAAAATCAAGCATTTTGGTCTGCAATAATCACAAAACACCTGGTGGGACTGTAAAAGACAGCAGTCCTATACAACATACACTACCATTAAATGTTTTAGTAACAATTTACAGTGGGGTTCTGTTCATAAGACTACATGACACAAATAAGCTTGTCAAGACAACTGACATAACTCTGCATAAATGTTTATAAATGCTTATTCCAGTAGGTTTCACCTGTCATAAAGGCTACTTCAGCTAACTTTCATCAAATGGAACCTTTAGAGCGAATGACGCCTAATGGAATGAGCGTTTATAAATGTTTATATGATTGGCAGTCTGATATATTTATTTAACCAACCAAAGTTTTTAATCACCATGTAATAATTATTGTATTTTACATAGAACAATACTTAAATAATATACACTTAAACATTATAATTTAGAATCCAGCTTTTATAATGTCACAAGACTAATACGCTTTTATTTTCTGGGTATGTTATGTTTTTTCAAGTTATCTGCTTCGAAATCACCACTTTTGAAATATGAGACATTCTGGCCTCGTAAATGTATTATAACTTCCATCCCCATGCCATACTCCTATCTCAGATGTTATGGAAGACTGTACAGTTCTGTTGATCATTGTAGAGTAGACACATTTAACATTTAATTTAGGATAAATTCCTAATGTGAAGTTACATAGGTCTAGCCATATGAGAACCAAATTGGTTTTGTATTATTGAAAACATTGATTCCAAACATTTGAATGGTGATTTCAAACCTTTCAGTGGTAATGTAGGTTAATAGTTGAAGGCAAATTGGCACACGTTAAGTATGTACAGAACAGGTCTATGCTGTGGGGGTGAAAATTAGGGCTTGCATTATGTTAAGAAATGTGGCTTCTGTAAAAGCTGGTAAAGAACCAGCCTGGAAAGCCGCATCTTAAAGCGGATACGCTCTACTTTAATACTTACTAATGGTAATTGTGCATACATGCTGCGTTCATTACGTGTCCATCTGTTGTAGTGTGATAGTAGATGATACAGTACGGTAATAGTCCCCTCTGTCAACAGCTTATGCCGTCCAAGCGGGTGCGTTCCCCTTTACCGGACCTACGTGTAAGTGGGCCTTGGCTCCATAGGGCCCCATAAAGCCCACTCCGCCTGGCCCAGCCACTGCCTGCCCCATCCCCATCCTACAGACCCACACATCCACTCAGCCTCACCTTGTCAATATCCCAGTCCCTGCTGCCCCATGCCTAGCTACTGCTCTGTCATTGGACCATCACAGTTGCCAGAATACATAATACATAATGCATTGCTGCTCAAAGAGAACACTGTGGTATGGTCAGTCTTTGAGCAGGCCTGCACATGGCCTGTGTATGCATATGTGTGCGTGTGTATGTGCATGTGCGTGTCTTTGTATTTGTTTCTGTCTGTTATAATGTACTATATAATTTCATGCACTGTACATGTATTATGTGTACATTGTCTTATGTGCACGTCACTACAGGTGTATGTATGAGAGAAAGATGTATGGGTTTTTTATTGACTGTGACATGCCGTCTCTCACATTAAAACTTGCCGTGCTATATCTGGATCTGCCTGTGCCGTGTCTGTGTACGTACAGCAGTGTCACAGCTCCCCCTGCTGGCCACAGAGATAGCGTTAACACATACTCTGTAGATCTCCAGGAGTATAGATCGTGACCACTATTGTAGTCCACCCGTTAATGGAAATGGACCATCTATGACCCGATGCTTTTTGGTTGCCGGACGATTCTCAGCAAAGCAATGACACCAACATGATAGTGGCATATGTGTGATGTGCAGGTACATGTGTATCAGGCACAGCAGCAGGTTTTTACATTGTCACAGCTGGGTTGGTAGTAGGCCAGTAACCAAAGACATGCAGCCAATAGTGGTTCTTTGGTCAGAAAACTGACCACTGATAAAGAGATAGAGAATAATGTACAAAACCTTTGCATAAAAAAGTCTGTGTAGTATCTAATTGTACAACTGCAAGGTGACCCAACAAAGTAAGTAGCAGTTTTGCTAATGGGTTTTTCTGCAACTACCACACTTTTAAGTCCTGGCGGAAGATTTTTGGATGTGTATTTGGATAATTAGCAACATACAAAATGGTTGTTAAAGATAATCAGATGATGTGATTTATGAAGCATATTTTGAATAATAATACCAGTTTTATTATTGATATATTAATATATTAGAAGTTCTCCACCAAAGCTCATGTAACAGACCATTCTTTTTAGCATTTGTACTCAAAAACAGCGTAAAAGTCTTTACCTCAACATATTTTTACACTCAGTTGTAGGAAGAACATGTTGCAGTAAAGACATTTTCACTGTTTTTCTGAAAATCTGGACAGCCAAAACTGCCTGTAGTTACAGAAACACCCTAATATAGTGTTCAGATGATGCTGTCATTTAGAGAGTGATGATAGTAACCAGCAGTAACCACAGCCCTCCTTCTTACATTCTCAGAGTACAACAGGTGATCATTCCCCCAGAGGCCGTGCCACAGTAAGTTTGTGCAGGACAGATGTAATGCATGCCCAGTGACTTAACTAATCAAAAAGCTGCAACTTATAACATCTTAATGACTTATGATTATTTGATAAACCTCAGTCTGAACTAATCTACAGTCTTGCAATCACATTGTAGAAGTACTAACACATAATTTAGCATGCCTCTGAGAAACAGGGCCTGAAAATGATGCATCCCCTTAATGAGCTTATCCCAGAAATAGCTATCAGTTCTCCTTTCTGCAGTATTGTATTAGCACAAGCAACAAAATCACCAAGCTATTGATTTTCTAGTGTAACACTGCCCAGCTCAGTAGACAAAAGCTCTGTCTAACACTGAAAATGCTTCTGCGTGATACTTGTTGATATGTGTTATTTTCTGTGATTCTTCTTGATGCTTTCTTTTCTTTCTTAAAACAAAAACCTGCATCAAATTATCCACCACAGACAATAGTCCTGTTACCATGTAATATAACATTGTCATTTTGATAATGACACCACATTTTGTGTCCACGTTCTCAGACCATGCCACAAGATCTTTCCCCTTTGTCAGCACCTCTGTCAGCAGAGACAGTAAGTTAGCAGTGCTTCTTGTATCTTGGACATAGTCGCCTCTGACCAGTAAGGTTACGCCTTGTAAAACTCTTATCCTTTTATCTCTCTTTCTTGCTGAAGACACTTCCATCCTTAATTAAACTGCCTTCTGAACCTGAGTGATAAAACTGCAATAGTAAATGTGTTGTGTGAGTGCGTGTGCGCATTAGCATGCAGACTGCAGATGTGTTCTGTGTGCCAGTTTGTCTCTCTTTGTGACTTTACAACTTTCAGAAATTCATTGCAGGCTGCCTCATCTCAGCTTTCTCTGCCTAACAAAGCTAGAAAATACATACTCAGATGTAGAGTTGTATAAACCTGATTGAATAATATACAACTGTGACATGATCCTGCATCAAGGCTTATACCTTCCTATTAATCTGACCATTTCTTGCTTTTGGATCTGCTCTATCACTCCCTCTGTTCTTTCTCCTCTGCCTAAAGCGCTGAAATTTAGTCACACTTAGTTTTTCTCCATGTTGTTTTTTTTTTTCTTTGCAGTCTCCAAGGACCTTGTCGCCCACCCCCTCTGCTGAGGTTAGAGCCTGCTTCATAATGTGCTTTAACGCAGATGCGCATTCACACCGCTTCAGAACAGATAGAACTCAGTCTGAACTTTTATTTATTGTTTGTTTATTTGTTGTTGTTGTGTATATTGTCACTGTTATAGGAAAACCTTACTTCGTTTTTTGTTTTTACACCACTTAAAAACACCAGCCGGCTCACATTTCAAGAAAAACGGACCGATAGAAATTTTAAAAAACAAACCTATCAAGTCACCAGACAGTAGCACCAGATACTATCAGGTGCGCATTAGATAGTACACTATATTGCCAAAAGTATTCGCTCGTCTGCCTTCACATGCATATGAACTTGAGTGACATCCCATTCTTAATCCATAGGGTTTAATATGATGTCGGCCCACTGTTTGCAGCTATAACAGCTTCAACTCTTCTGGGAAGGCTTTCCACAAGGTTTAGGAGTGAGTTTATGGGAATTTTTGACCACTCTTCCAGAAGCGCATTTGTGAGGTCAGACACTGATGTTGGACGAGAAGGCCTGGCTTGCAGTCTTCGCTCTAATTCATCCCAAAGGTTTTCTATCGGGTTGAGGTCAGGACTCTGTGCAGGCCAGTCAAGTTCTTCCACACCAAACTCGCTCATCCATGTCTTTATGGACCTTGCTTTGTGCACTGGTGCGCAGTCATGTTGGAACAGGAAGTGGCCATCCCTGAACTGTTCCCACAAAGTTTAAAGCATGAAATTGTCCAAAATCTCTTGGTCTGCTGAAGCATTGAGAGTTCCTTTCACTGGAACTAAGGGGCCGAGCCCAACTCCTGAAAAACAACCCCACACCATAATCCCCCCTCCACTAAACTTTACACTTGGCACAATACAGTCAGACAAGTACTGTTCTCCTGTCAACCGCCAAACCCAGACTCGTCCATCGGATTGCCAGACGGAGAAGCGTGATTCGTCACTCCAGAGAACACGTCTCCACTGCTCTAGAGTCCAGTGGTTGCGTGCTTTACACCACTGCATTCAACGCTTTGCATTGTGTTTGGTGATGTAAGGCTTGGATGCAGCCTTTCAGCCATGGAAACCCATTCCATGAAGCTCTCTATGTGCTGTTCTTGAGCTAATCTGAAGGCCACATGAAGTTTGGAGGTCTGTAGCAGTTGCTCTGCAGAAAGTTGGCGACCTCTGCGCACTATGTGCTTCAGCATCCGCTGACCCTGCTCTGTCATTTTACCTGGCCTACCACTTGGCTGAGTTGCTGTCGTTCCCAATCGCTGCCACTTTGTTATAATACCACTGACAGTTGACTGTGGAATATTTAGTAGCGAGAAACTTTCACGACTGGACTTGTTGCACAGGTGGCATCCTATCACGGTACCACGCTGGAATTCACTGAGCTCCTGAGAGCGACTCATTCTTTCACAAATGTTTGTAGAAGCAGTCTGCATGCCTAGGTGCTTGGTTTTATACACCTGTGGCCATGAAAGTGATTGGAACACCTGAATTCAATTATTTGGATGGGTGAGTGAATACTTTTGGCAATATAGTGTGTGTGGTGAGCACCAGATAGTATTGGGTGCTCACCACATAGTATCTGGTGCTCATCTGATAGTATCTGGTGTGCACCACATAGTATCTGGTGCTCACATGACAGTAAATGGTGCGCACCAGATCTTTACTTAGAAAAAACAATAATAATACACCACATCTTTTCAGGGGCTCTGTAGAATGTATCCCTTCTTTTACCTTGTGATTTCAGTCCGTTTTGTTTTCTCATGAAACTTAATGACTTTTGACCAAATCCACAATGTTATGCGTCAGGGGAAAAATAATACTAACCAGTAGGATCATGTTTCTCCCACCACCTATTATCGAGCCAAAACGTTCAGTTGGCTCAGAGACCTTCCCTATTATTTAGTTTCACTAAGAAATATGTCACAGCTGCAGTGTCTGTTCACAACACCAAGTAGATTTCTACTTATAGGCTGATTCCTCACAATTACAACATCTACTGAACATGCCACGTTGTGTAAACTGTCACCGTGTCTCTGTACTAGGGCTGCTATGACATGAGAGAGCGCATTATGCAGAGATCTACCAGCCAGGGCTCAATTGGCTCGCCCGTGTACAGCCGCCACAACTACACGCCCTCACTGTCCAAATCACCCCAGCACTTTCACAGACCAGGTAAGCGTGAAACACCTAACCTCCATTTATACACTTCCTTCCACCAGGACTGTGAAGAAACATACAGGAGAGCAGTTCGGTGTGTGTGAGACTCTCTCTAAACTCTCTCTCTCTGTCTCTGTACATAAGAGCTGAGCTATCTTCGAGCTGTAGAAGCACTACAAGTTATCCATCTCCTTCCAAAGCTTTGCCCTTTCTCGCTTTCCCTCAGCATCCCTCTTCCCTCTGCCTTTCGCTCATGTTTCTTTCCCCTTGCCTCTTTTTGTCCTGTCTCTTCTCCTGTTTCTGCTCTTCTTCCTCGTCCTTCTCCTCTTCCTCTGAGCGGCTGGCAGGTATGCTGAAGCTCTGCTCCTCTTTGCGTTCTGGCAACAGCGACAACCGCCCCACTTCCCCTTTCCGACATCACTTCCTCCCCCATAACAAAGGTAAGACCCCTGCTGCTACCCAACCCTTGAGGTGCATTCCAGTGTCCTTCCTGAAACACCCAGACCTTCCTCTATCCCCTCACAGAAGACTGAGAGATAGAACTTGTTTCTGGGACAGTGCTTCAAAGGGGTGTAAATCTCTGACCTCGCAATGATTCGATACTATTCTTTTGGAGACAATTCAGTGAATTATGAAATCTCCATGCTATGATCCAGTTTGCTTTGATTGGATTATATTGGTATGATTCAGAATTGCTTAAAATATACACAAATCAAAAGACAAGAGGAATAATAATAATACAAACTTCAATTCCAAAAAAATGGGACAGTATGTGAAATACTAATAAAAACAGAAAGCAGTGATTACTAATTGTGTTTGACCTGTATTAAATTGAAAATACAACATGATATTTGATGTTTTACCTCATTATTTATTGTTGTTTTTTATATATATATATATACACACAGATGCTGCTGTAACATCTGCAGAATGTACCTTGGCGTTGTCATAGTAAAATAAGCATGCACATCCTTGAAAAAGTCTCAGTCTAGAAGGCAGCATATGCTGCTCCAAAAGGTTTATGTATCTTTTAGTGTTTACACTGGCTTCACAGAGTTACCCATGTCATGTGCACTAATACACCCCCATTCCACGACAGACCCTGACTTTTGAACTTTATATTGGTAACAATCAAGATGGTCTGGAGGACACAGTGTTCATTATTTCACAGTCAGAAAGGCTGACTGTACAAGTTTTCACTATGCATCACTCTGTTTCAGTTGAGCTCACAGGCATTCAGTTATGGTTTTCGGCCTTGCCTTTGTGCAAAGATTTCTCAAGATTGCTTGAATCTTTTGATGACATACACCGTAGAGGGTGGAATACCTGAAATCATTGAAGTAGCTTATTGAGAAACATTTTTTAACTGTTGGATTATTCATTGATGTAGTTTTTGGCACCTCATCCTTGCATAATTGCATCACCTTTTTGTATTCCTAGTCTTAAATTGCCTCAGTCCCAACTTTTTTGGAATATGTTGCAGGCAACAATTTTAGAATGAGCATATATTTACAAAAACAATGAAGCTAATAAGGTGAAACATTAAATATCTTGTCTTTGTACTGTTTTAATGTAAACACAGGTCAAAGTGAATTTACAAATCACCGCTTTCTGTTTTTGTTTGCTGTTCACCTGTTGTCAAACTGTTTTGTTAGGTTGAGGTTTGAATTGTTATGATTTATCACTTGTAATTATAATAATAATAATTGATTATAATCAACTGTAATAAATTTCAAACACATTCAATTCGATTCATTTATTTATTTTGGGTATGATTCACAATTATTGTTGAACACAATCAATACGAATCTGACTTAAGTGGAACAGTACTGGAATATAGACAATGAAAGCAATGCCACAGTACACCAAGTGTGTTTGAAAATAGGCCAGAGATTTATTTTTGGCAAAGTGATTATAATCCATTGATATCTATTTTAAAATCACTGCAATTGAATTACACCCCTGTGCTACAGTGATAGCCCTCTAAGCTAGTTGGTTTGTGCTTCATTCATGGCTGCTCTGTTTTAGGGAGTACAAGTTATGAACTTGTAACACGGGAATGGCACGTGTACCCTCTGATACTGTTAAGCTGAAGGCTGCGTTCAGTCAGCCATTGCTCCACAGCTACATGTAAACTGAGCACTGCTGACTAACCACATGTTCCTGTGTATAATAGACATGTGCCTCTGTCCTCCCTACAGATTCTTTCTGCATAGGTATGTCTTGGCTTTATGGCTGGTACTCTGTGTGGAGTGTTCTTTTGTGTATGGCAGCTGTGAGGCATGCCACAACCTCCTGTCTTTTCCCTGTCTCACCACTGGTCTTATTCAGCGGTGTGCTTGTTTGATGTTTAACACATGACGTGGTCTCCCTCTAACATTCAGCGCTGCATGCTGCACAACTTCTTTTCTTGCTCACAATTTCTAATGCAACAGCAAATTCTCTAAAATTAAGTACTGATCTTGTGAATGTCATATCTTCACATTGTCCTCGAGCAAATATCGATGCTGAATGCCGAGAGGATTGTGGTTGTGGAGAATCTGCATGCCGGCTGTCTGCACTGATGCCATTACAGGATGCCATCATACCTCCCTCCTCTACTCTTCTCCTCTCCTCTCTTCCACATGTCTCTCATGCGGAGTGGACACCCTCTATTTCATCACATTCACTCCCCTCTGTTTGTCCATCTCTTTCAATTAGTAAGAACTTATTCCAACATCTCTTTCTTTCTTCCCCTCTTTCTTTCTTCCTTGTTTTCTTCCTCCCACTCTTTCTCCTCTTCTTGTTTGGAGGCACTGAGCCATCGAGTGGCCGCAGTTCCCCCCTTTCCTCCCGGCCGGCCACCCCGACCCTCTCTCTGACCCCTAAACATTTCCACATCCCAGGTAGGAGGAGGAGTGACCACAAGTCCACCTATCACCTCAACTCAGAATCTGTCTGTCTATCTATCTATCTATCTATCTATCTATCTATCCATCCATCCCATTCTTCTGGCCCACTCGCTCAATCTTTTTGTTTCTTCATGTCCCCCCATCTGCTGTTATTTTATTCTATTTTACTCCCTCCAACACACACATTCTTGGGCCCCTCACTGCAAAGTGAAGTATTATTTATGTGTGTAGTATCATGTCTTACCATGTTAATTTCAATTCACATCCACATTTTCTTCTGACCTTAATATTCATTTTCTACTTCATTACTCTACTTCATTGTCTTATTTTAAGTTGTACTGATCTAAGACCTTGTCTTTACTTTTAATTCCAGACCAAGGCATGAACATGTACAGAAAACCACCAATCTACAAACAGCATGGTATGGCTATTGACGTTCTTGATTAACTTATTGACATATCTAACATATAGAAGCTGAACAACATTTACATTAATAATTCAAATTCTACTTTGGCTTTTGACACATTTGGTTCTAATTATGCATATCTGTTTATAATTATAATCAATTATAACCATATAAGTGAAGCAAAATCATGGTATGAGTGAAATAAACAATTAACATTTAAATGTTTGATAAATATAGTTTGAATGGCACAGATATTTACTTGGTCCGTACCTTGATTTTGTGCTTTCCTAAATACTTATGATATTAATGAACTGTAAAAAGAGCAGATTGATGATGTGACATGTCAGAGTGATTGTGTATGAGTGTGTGTGCATTATCTGACCATAATATTTATATGTTCATGTTCGGTCATGTGTGTTGACACCATCCCACCATTAACTTTTGGTTGTGGCATATGTGACTACATGTCCTGTTTACTCATGTAAGTACAATTTGAAGTGCTCAACTCCACTCAAATTAGACTCTGAGAGTTATTTCTGCTATTCTCTGTTCTTTCTTCGCTCCCAACTCGCTCAGACCTGAAACTAAAAGACCCTCTTTTACTTGTTTTCTGGCTGTGCCCTATAAAACACTTACATTTGCCTTATAATTGCATGGGCTTATGGCCTGCAGAGGCTCACTAGAATCACTTATAAAGTTTGAGAGCTTACACTGCATTCTTTTATTAAATATCTCAGAAAATATGAATGTAGCAAATATAGCATACTGCTTTTTACACTTCTGTATGAACTACAGTGATGGCCATGAATGTGTCAAAGCATGTCACAATCTTTAAAACATCCTTTTTTAAAAACATACTAAAGCAGTAATTGTCATCGTAAAGTGTGTCCTATACTTTTGAATGTAATCAGACACCCTGAAATGTCATGCTTTCATTGCATTGGCCAGCGCTGTAGATGGCTCAAGCTATTATGAGCCAATCACTGATAGTCCAGTTCCCCTAAAATACAAATCCAGATTCAGCTGCCCTGGCAGCGCAAAGCAAGTCTGCCGATGACATCATCAAATCTTCCAAGTTCCCTGCCGCTCATGCTCCCCAGCCGGATGAAACACCAAAGATTGAGACTGACTACTGGCCCTGCCCTCCTTCCCTTGCTGCCCTAGGTAGGCTCCTCCCACTGGCTCCTCCAGAAAGTTCTTCAGAGTTCTGCGCAGCCTGTGAAAGCAAAGCCAAAGGAAGCTGTTATTCCTGTGTTCACGTTCATAGATAGAATGTTGCTGTATATCTTCTTACTATAGCCCACTGTTTCCCCTCAGCTTTTCCTCAAAGTCAGATACAGTAACTTGCGAGCAGGGGCGATCTTTGCGCTAGGCAAAGGTACGCAGCCACCTAGGGCCCTCATGAGCCAAATTATATACTGTACGTGTTGATTTTAAATAACCTATTCTGAAATATAGATGCATTATAAAAAAAAGCTATTATTTCTATTGTAGAATTTCTTTACAGTAATTTCAGTGCAGCTCCTCTCCTCAGTCTTGGTAATAATGGGCTAGTCTGTGTTGTAACTACTTAAAAAAAATAATAATCCATTACAGGTTACTAATTGCTTTTCTCAAAATGAAAAGGAATTACATTAGAACTGGGCGATATGGCAAAATGTAATATCATAATACTTCAGAAGTTTTTTATGATACACTATATTTCACAATATTTATTTTTTCTGACATCTGTTAAGTTTAAACAGACAAAGTAGTGCCATATTTTAAAAATGCTGTCAAAACCTATGAATCCATCTACTTGTATTTAACATGTCACACACTGTGTTGCACTAAATCCAAGACTATGACAAATTATGCTGTCTTTTTAAACAAACATGCAGTTGGGAAGTGTTTTTAAGCACTCACAATATCCACAATAGCAAAAGCATATTAAGGCTTCTTGTCATGTAATTTATTATAACAATAACAATAACAAAAAATATTGTCATATTTCCCAGGTCCAGATTACATTACTTATTACTTACTGGAAAAAGTAATTGCTACTTAATTACTACGTAATTGCTAATTACTTTACTTATACATTGGTCTGTATCAAATTATCTCACTATATTGACAGATAATTTTGCTTGTTTCAAGCATATTTTTGAGACAAGCAAAATCATCTACAAATATAGTGAGATCAATTTCACAAAAAATTACTTAATTAAAAAATGCTCAGAAGTAATCTCATAATATTCTTAAAGCAACTTCAAAATGAGAAATATTACATATATGAACTAGATTTAAGATTATTTTACTTGCTCAGATATCTTTAACTAATTTAAAAATGTGTATCCAGAGGGCCCATTCCCATCTTTTGTCTAGAGACTCAGAATCATGAAGTCTGCCCCTGTGAGGACTACAGGATACTAGAGTTTGGTTGCAGCAATGGTTCTCAAAGTTCAAGTCTTCAGGATCCATCAGACTTTTTGCACTATCCAGCTCCCAACTCACTTGAACCAAGTCATTAAAGATGAATTTTACAGATTTTTCTAAAATTCTGTATAATTAAATCCTTAGAATGTGAGCAAAGCTAGTCATGGTGGTCATATGTAAAATGCAGCATTCCAGAGAAACTTACAGAGTCAGAATTGTTTACAGTGGTGATGATAGGAACCAGGTGTCTGAAGCATCTCTTAACTCTAAATGTTAACTTACAGGAAGCCTGAGACATCGTTTACAATAGTTTTAAGAGGAGGTCTTGGTCTTAATGTGTTTTAGTACATTTAGGGTGAAGAGTTACATGTTGTAAGATGACATAATACCCAAAGAAAATATACTTTTTTAATTAACACTACATATGAAAACTCTTAAGAAATGTGTAGGTTCACCTTCCATATCCCGGCAATGAGGAGGTTTTGGATGTTGGGCAGCTGGGATCTGAAGGAGACGCAATAATCTTTAAGTTTAACAGTGCTGGAGTGACTAGCACAAGTTAGAAGCACTAATAGGGTAGTGCAGTACCCGCAGTGCAGTTGGTGTACTGAGAGTCATAGCGCTGAGTGGTCTGAGTGCGGTTTAAATAAACTCTGGTTCCTATCACCACCATTGTAAAGAAATTCAAGTCAGTACGTTTTTTTACAATGTACCCTTTAATTTTATTTAATAACTTTGAAATCAGAATGCCCTTTTAAGAACGCTGAAAAACTGATATCTCGTCTCGTAGGCTGGGTTAGAACGAAAACATGGACCATCGGTTACACCTATGGTCTGGTTCAAGACTGCTGGGTAGGGGAATATACTGTTAGAGTATATATTGTATGCTTAGTTAGAAAATATAGTGTAAATAATTGATGATTATAAATTATCTACAGCCACATCTATCAGCCTTTACTTCATAATTCAGACCAATCATGTTTTTTTTCTGTTTTTAATCATAATATATTTACTTTCCATCATTAATTTTTGTCATGATGTGTGAAAATGAACAAGCTTGGGTGAAACAAGAGTGAAAGTGACACGGATGATGACGATATGCACTGATGATGCATCGTGTTTGTTTTGTTTGATATTCATTGTGGGATTGTTGACCCTGGCAGGCTCAGATATGAGGAGCCGTTCACGAGATGAAGAGGAGGAGGAGCATCTGAAACGCAGACATCTCCAAGAAGAGCATCTCAGCAAGGTCAGAAGTCTCCAGCACTATAGATTCATTAAAATAATAGATTCCTGATCACAACCAGACAAGATTATGCTAAAGTGAGCATGTAATACACTGGATCCTCATAGTGGACACATGTAAAACCTGAAGACTGTAATAGTTCTGACACCTCTCTCTGCTACAGATCCAGTCTGGTCTGGGGAAGCTCATTCTGAAGGAAGAGATGGAGAAAGAGATGAACAGAGAAAGATATGCCCGCACTCAGACCACTCAGCGCTATGACTCTCAGTACACCAACTGCACTGCGGGTACTGCACTACCCTATTAGTGCTTCTAACTTGTGCTAGTCACTCCAGCACTGTTAAACTTAATGATTATTGCTTCTCCTTCAGATCCCAGCTGCCCAACATCCAAAACCTCCTCACTGCCGGGATATGGAAGGAATGGCCTCCATCGGGTAAGCAACTCTGTAAGCATCTGGACTGAGGTGCCATCTGGCTGTCTATGAAAAGGCTACACTGTATTTAAAATATTATCCACCCCTTTTAATTGTACTTTAAAGTCTGATTGTAGTCAGTCGTGCCCACAGAGCTTGTATCACCATAGAAAAGTAGGGAAGCACTAATATGGGAATTCTGAGCAAGTACTGATATCTAGTATTTTTCATGTATATATGCCAATGCGGATGCATTCACTAGAAGTAGTTTCACTAACTTCTTACCAGTAACTTCAGAAAACCATCTTTGTATTTTGTGCTGTCATTTTACGTTTCTGTTTACCAAATTGTTACTCTATTCTGAGGCATTTTACTATGTTGTTTATCAGTTTAATAGTTAGAACCTGTTAACCATTTCAATGTATTTAGTTAGACTGTCTCTTATCTCATCATTATTTTACTCAAAAATAATGACACAGCACTTTGAAGATTATGCTCTACACATACTCTGTTAATATCTCAAAGCTTAGTGTGATTTAGTTAAATTATCTTGGAACTTACCATCATGTTATCCAAAGTAATTATCTAGTACTCTGGAGTCTGTACCTCACATTTACCTGGATAATACCTAGAACTTGAGCGACTTGTGTTACCTATAACATTTATTTCCATAGTGTTACATATACAGTTGAATTAATAGTATGCAGATATTTTAGCACAGTAGCCTAACATCTAAACATTCTGCTCTTCTGGAGTATAATAAATACATAATAGATACAGCATCACATGTATATGTTTGACGTATTAGTCAAATCTACACATCTGTCTGATGATTATGACAATTTTAAACAATTGCCTGCTGATGCTGATATGATTCCAATATCATTGTGCATCCCTGTAGAAAAGCATTGCCAATGAAATGAGACTCATGATCCAAAGGTCACCATGCCTAATGCCAGGCATCAGCCAGAGGGCTAAAAAGCCTCCCAGCACTGGGCTCTGGAGCAGTGGAACTGTGTTTTCTTGAGTGGTGGAGCACCATCCATTACCCTTGCGATAGTTGGAGTGGCACTGATCCTGATTCAGAACTAATAATCCAACATCAGTACCTGACCTCACTAATGCTCTTGTGGCTGAATGCAATCAAATCCTCACAGCAATGTTCCAACACCTAGTGTAAAGCCATTCCCAGAAGAGCAGAGGCTGTTGCTGGGGCAGAAGCAGGGACAAACTCTCAGTTAATACCCTTAAGGGTGGATGAGAACTTATTTACAAAGTTTTGGACATATAGCAAATGTCAGAAAGTGTGCCTTGTTTACCGTAGTGCATCTTTTGGGAGTTTGCTGTTCTGCAGTGGGCTCTGAAAAACACAGTGGAGCTGATCATGTGTACTCTTACAATTCCACAGTGCACCCCTATAGATAGAGTACAAATGAAACACATAGTTTTGCGACATTGTTCATAAAGGAAAAAGTGCTATTCTAAGGAACAGAGTGTTTACATGTATCATTGATTTATGTCTTTGGCTTTTATTTCCAGCCCCAGTCCACAGAATTTTCTCAGTATAACAGTTATGGAGATGTCTGCAGAGGTCAGAGAGGTACCTGCCTATTACAGATATTAAATTATTACTATGCGCATTCCTATTTCTGAAAATATAGTATAAACATTCTCTAAATCTTCTTCCTCTCTCTTCTATTATGCAGATTTCAAGGTACGTGAGTCTTATGGCACATCTTAGCCCAATCAGCTGCACTGCGCATGCATGTCAGCCATCATGCACTCAAGAATGTGGAGTCATGCTACATGTGACTGGAATGCCACTCACACCCTGCTACGCTTTTGTCTGAGTTTTAAAAAAAGAGCTTGGGCAAAGGGGGAGAGCATAGACAGAGGGGTTTCATCTTTAAATGACCTCATCCTGAGCGGTCTTCATGTAGCCATAGTTATGTTCAGCCTAATCAGAATCATGGGTAGAGTAGTTTAAATCACACTCCCTCCTCAGAATAAAGCAGGTGTTTTGCATTAGATGTGAACTCTTTCCCAGGATTTCTGATTCCAATGAATCCAGTTTTGCTTTCTTTTTTTAAGCATTTGCATCACATGTTTGTGTTCTGTTCTGTAGCCCATCCAAGATGGCCAGGTCCCCATAAGCAGAATGGACAGGGGATTGTCAATGCCTAATATGTTGGAACATAAAGCAAGTATCCCACATCTTTTTTTTTCTTTTTTATTTTGTGAGAATTCCGTTTCTCCTTTCTTTTCCATTTTGTGAGTGCTCCCCCGTGTTCAATAAATATCCCCCCTTTCAAAGCCCAGGTTATTCATTGCAGTCAGTGAGGTTATTTTTGGCACAGCCTCAGAGGCCATAGGCGGTGGGAGAAGGCCGAGGATTTGCGCTGCTTGCATTCCTTCTAGTGCTATGAAATGATGTAATGATATGCTTTACTATGTCTGAGCTATGCACATTTTTCCAGATCGTTGATCCCTCTGGTTTTCCTAAATCTGGCTGAACGAGGCTTAACAGCTGCATGTTCCTGGTTTCTTTAAAGGTGCTGCTGTAGTAACCACAATCCTAACTTGATCATTCAGTGTTCTCCATTACTCTTTGTGTTAGCTGTAGGTTTGTATTCCTTTTTAATAAGATGTACACCTTCCATTGAGAGTTTTATTCAGAATGACATAGGTGGATCATTCCCTCTCTTTTCATTTAGACATTATGTATTTGATAACACATTTTTTTTTCTCATTTGGCCATTTTCATTCAGTTATCTTTACCCACTAGGTTTGTGCTCTTGTTTTGGAAGTGATATGAGACCACTATTTGATCGAACACGCAAAATGCATTCATACATGTTTGCGCCCCCTCCCTGTTCTCTCCCCTCGTTCCCTACAGAGTCACCACCAGCATTTTTCACCCCTCCCTCTATCTGTCTCTGTCTGTGCAGTGTAGATGTTTGTCTGTTCGTGGTGCGTGTTGTCAGAATGCAATGTGCACACACTGTTCTTTCTTTCACGGTTGCTTTTCATTGATTCATTGTGTTTGGCAAATGCCTTGCAAAGCATTCTCCATAACAAGACAATCCCTCCTTTTGTAAAGGTGTATCCATATGAAATGCTCACTGTCACCAACAGAGGGCGTGCTAAGCTCCCGAAGGATGTGGACAGGACGAGACTGGAGGTAATTAACTCTTAAAAGCTGTTAGCCGCACTCTGTGCGGTGGCGTGGGAATCTGCTAAGTTGACTCTCTACTTCCCAGCTTTCCAGTCCTTCGTTTTCCCTTCATTAGTCTCAACGTCTCTACTTCTTTCTCTCCCCAGCGTCATTTGGCACCCGAGGTTTTCTTTGACATCTTTGGAATGGAGATCCAAGAGTTTGACAGACTTCCCCTGTGGAAGCGCAATGACATGAAGAAGAAGGCCAAGCTCTTCTAGCCAGGAATCTGCATGTTTTAATTTATCAGCCACTCCAATAATGTATTATAGATATAGTCTTCTGATTTTCTTTTCCTTTATTATTATTTTATTCCTTTTATTTTGCCTTTTTTGGTTTGCTTTCCAACAGTCTGCTAACACACAGACATAATTTATCTCCTTTTTGCTTCGAGATTACAACTACCCCCTTTTTTGCCCCGGATGCAGAGTTTTCATTTAGGTGGAAGTTAGGTTAGGAGTGAAATACAGTGCAATTTAACCCTTTGAGGGGAGGACAGAGGAGCGAAGAGAGGCCATCATCTCTGTACTCTCATTAAACCTGCCTTCAGAGCAAAAGCTTTCTCTTCTTTCACTCCTTCCTGCCCATCTCATAAAACAGGACTGTAATTTTTGGGGTGGAAAAGGAGTGGGGGCTGAAGGCTATCGGCAGGGTTCTTCCTCTAAAGAGGCTATTAAGGTGTTGGAGGCACAAGAGTTCCAGCAGCCCCCTGCCGGCGTGGCCCTAACAAGGGCCTTGATGTGCATTAACAGGGGGAAGTGAGAGCTACTGTGTGGAGCTGAAGATGACAGACCTGGGTCCTGCCTGCAGGGGAAAGAAAGGTCTGGGTTTTGGCTCTGGAACACATTAGAGCCTGTAGAGACTCAGAGATGTGTCAGCTGTGGCCTACCTCCCTGCCATCTCCTCTCAAGCCTTGAGTCCTAGCATAATCTTGCCATGAACAAAATGCTCCTGAGCTGGATGCTCTTTCTCTAGCCTTTTAGTCCCATCTCCTATTTTTTTAACTTATGAAAAGCTAATATTATATGTCAGGTGAGGTGGTGGTGGTGAAAGCTTAGGAAGTTAAAGTCCGCTGCTTGCTCCCCCCTTAAAGCAAGAAGGGAGAATGTCCACCACCAGAGGTCAGGCTTGTGTCGTATGTACGGAGGGGGAATAGAGAGGCTTTCTGCTTAGCTCCCTCCAGAGTACCACCGAATTTGACAATCCTCTCCTTTTGACCACTATCATAACTGCAATATATATCTTTTAACAGCATATCACTTTGATTAAAGCTAAATTTGAAAAGTCTTTGATATTGACTGCTTTTTATAAAGCTGAAATATTCCAAACTGCCACTGTGTTGCTGGAGTATCGATGGAGCTGTAGCCATAGCATTTGTGCCAGAAGTAGGTTTGATATCAGGGCCCTATCTGCCATTCCGTTTAAAGCTGCCGGACGATGCCGTTCCCATAGACACTGGGTGTGCTTGCAGTAGTGTTATGGGCTGATGCTGATCTTTATTCCCAGGAGTGTCCTGTGATGCTAACAGGGTTAATGACTTTGGACTGGGAAATGAAAAAAAACAATTTAGTTTTATAATATCACACAACACATATGATGAGTTTATGGTGACTCTTAGAACCCAAGCTATTTCACATGTACAATGGAATGAAGAAAAGTTGGTTTTGATACCCATGCTGTGTTCCTCGCCCTTTTCTGTCTTTTATGAAGGAAAGATTTGATGACAATGATGTAAAATCTCAACTGAGTAATAAAACTCTGCTTCAGATATTCATATTAATATTGATTTTTTTGGTCTGTCAGCACGGTTGCATAGAGGCATTAAACAGTATATTGCTGCTGTTGGAAGAAAACATTGTATCTCCATTTTTGTCGTTTTTCAGTTTTTGACATAATTTGAAAATGCCTCTTGCCCTTTACATTGTGTGTAAATTTCATGAAGAATGGACCAAACAAAACAGCCCAAAATGACCTGGAAAAATGTCTGGTTCCACTGACTTACATTAAAAGTAAAGTAGATTTTATCCTGTTCCTGTGAAGTTGTAATTTTGGAGATACAAGTTTTTTTTCCAAAAACAGCTATATGCACACACTGTCCACTTTATTAGAAACACCTACCGTGTACTTCGACTCAGTGGCCACTATATGAGGTCCATCTACAGTACTGTGTAAAAGTCAGAGACCACCTTTTGATTTATTTAATTTCCACTCAAAACAGCCAATAAGTACAAGTTATTCAGCGATAGGAAAAAGCGGAAGCAATATGTTTATCAGGAATTTACATAGAAGATTCACCAACTGAATATAATTTAATTTTTTCAGGTTTTGGTGTGTTCACGCTTTGTTTTTATTACAGCTTCCATTCTTTTTGGAAGACTTGCTTTCAGTTTTTCTAAGAAATCTGCAAGACTATTTTTCTCCAAAGTTCAGTCTTAGACGTTGGTTGCATTTTCTGTACAAATTTAGACTCATCCATACATAAAATCTTACTATACGGCTATCCAGTTTTTGGCTCAAATTTTCAACTTTTCTGTCCTGTTTCCTTTTCTGAGTAACAGTGTCTTGACAGCTACACATCCTTTCAGATCCATAGTGTTAAACTGTCTTTTCACAGTGGAAGAGTAGACAGAAATATCTGTGGATTTTTTCAAATCTGAATGAAGAGTGGAGCTTGATTTTCTTTTCCCTCTCAAAGATGAAGCTTTAAATACCATTTATGTAATATTGACAGTTTTGGTGGTCTACCAGGTCTCATTATCTCTGTATGTTTTAACATTTTATCAACTGTAGTTTTGGAAATGTTTTCACTTATTTTCATTTGACTTCCCTCATATGCATTTGGATTATCTTACATCTAATCCCACAGAAATGTCTCCTTAAAGAAATGAACAGCTTGTACATAATGGTCATTTTGACTAGAATTTAAATTAGTAGTCTCTGACTTTTACATAGTACTACATTATAGGTCTAATAGGTAGATGTCCAGTCACAGCCAGTAACCTGTTGACATCTGTTGTCAGGCACAGTTTTCCTACCCCCTTGATCATTGGTCAATTGCTCTTGACCAGATAATATTTGTGGTGTAGTGGTGTATTCTCAGTACTACAGTGACAATGACATGCTAGTGTGTGGTGCTATTATGAGTGCATCAGGCACAGCGTCATTGCTTTGGTTTTTACACATGTGAGTGTAGAGAGTGGTCTACTAACCAAAGACACCCAACCCACAGCACTTCTGTGGTCAGAAACTGACCATTGAGGAAGGGCTGGAGGTTGACTAATACAAACTGTGCATGAACAGATGGGCTACAGTCTCTTAACTCTACACTAACAAGGTAGACCTACATGCCAGCTGTTTCCAATAAAATGGCCAGTGTGTCTATATTTGTAAAAGGTGTGTGAACATTCTGTGTTAATGTGATTTCTATATGGCATGTGGTCACACCCTTCTCCACAGAACACTTCTGCCCGGTCCTGCAGCCATTCAGCCTCTTCCTGCTCTGGCACTGAGCTGTTTCACACAGAGATTGGCTATGGTAGAATGTTTATTAGTGTCTCTATCATTGGTGTGGCGTGGTTTGACAACCAGGAGGGCAGTGCAGTTATTCATCTCTCTAATTCAGTGGCCCAGGCTCACACTGCACTCTGCTGCTTTGCTTTATTCACATTGTGCCACTGATGCTAAGTTCCAGTCTTCCACGGCACTCCTGCTGCTTGTGGACATCCACAACCTAGCTAATGAAATTAATGTTCTACATATCAGAACTATAATTATTTCCATAACCATTATTTATACAAGATCCTGCATTCTAATTATATGCACAAAAGCTAATTGAGTGATTATTTAACTAACATAACATTTTTAACTAATTAGTTATATTAGCTAAATAATTTTTGACTAATTTAACTCATTGTGCTATCACATAGCCTACATTATTAAACACATCCATCCATCATCTAAACCACTTATCCTTCTGGGTCACGGTGGGGTGCTGGAGCCTATCCCAGCTGTCATTGGGCGAAAGGCAGGATACACCCTGGACACGTCGCCAGTCCATCGCAGGGCAGACAGACACATTCACACCTAGGGGCAATTCAGCACATCCAATTGGCCTGACTGTATGTTTTTGGACTGTGGGAGGAAACCCACGCAGACACGGGCAGAATATGCAAACTCCACACAGAAATGACCCTGGTCACCCGGCCGGGAATCGAACCCAGGCCATTCTTGCTGTGAGGCGACAGCACTACCTACTGCGCCACCAGGCCGCCACTATTAAACACTTTATTACTTTATTAAATACAGCATCATCAGACTCTTATTACTGGTTGGTAGCTACCCTGAGGGAGATTTTAAAGCATAATTAATGATTTATTGATTATGGCTCACTCATTATAGTTGACTGTCTCACTTTCCATAAGTGGGGTGGTCAGAAGGGTGGCCATGCTTCAATCTAGGTGGCCACTCCTTGGCTATGCCTTTGATTTAGACATGAATTATGCCTGCTTAACATTTAATTTTTCAATATGAGTTCTCTCAAATGGATTTAAACGCCTCGACTCTCAACTAGTAGACTACGTTACCTTAGCCATGTTTACTAAACCTGGCGCCTTAAGCATTCAATAGAAATGTGGCCAATCATTTTAAAGCAGTGTGTTTTTCTTTGTCTAACAATGGTGTACATATGCAGACATGGGCCATCCTGTGAGCTCATTACCATGGATGGTTTGGTGCATTGTTTAGGACTACTATTCATTATTTTTGGGTTTTATCTTTTGGAGCTGACCTCAAAGTTATGCCCTACTGGGTTTTGTGTTACCTCTGCCTCCTTAACCCCTCAATATGACCAAATTGGTGCTGTAACCATACGCTTCGCCCTGCAGACATTTCCATGTGCAAAGCTTGTTCAGGATCCAGTAGGCGCTGATGTTAGTGTCTGGGTAGCTGCACGTCAGGCTTGGGTTTCAGACCCCACAAGCGCATTCCAAAACCTGCAGAATGGAGTGGGACAGAAATCTGGGGTTAATGAGAGGTTCTGCCACAACACATCAAGCCCAGCATCTCCAGAACGTTTTTCTGAGCATGTGCAAGGACCGTTCTCACGCAGAGGTTTGGGGAAAAAAAAAACGGTTCTCCCCAGTTTGAGACAAATCACTGTGTGGAGGAGTGGTAGAATAATATTGCTTCATGACATAAATGCACTGCTTCTGAGGGCCCTGGAGATCAGCAGAGGTTTTATCAGGTGCCTCCTTTTCCTAAGATCTGCAAAAGCTCCATTAACTTTAGAAAGGTGTGAAAAGTTAGAGAAAGCAGAGTAACACTGCTAACTAATCAGAAAATCAGATGGAGCGCACAAGAGTATTTCAGAGATTTTGAGCTTTTGAAGTACTAAATGAATCATAACAAAACCCTGTAACTGTACGACTGACCAAAATGTTCCAATTAATTTGAAGGCTACCTGCATAGGGGCTTCATAACACTTGCATAAACATTGAATATGAACAGTTATACTTCTGCAATACTTGCGTATTTGTAAACAGCTTATGCAAGACTTTTTGTTAAGTAAATAACACTGTATTGACATAAGGGGCCTGACAGAAGTGTGTTTCATTTGTAACACTGTAATAGTTAATAAAGCAGAGGCCTAGTTAATAACATCTTATGTCATCTTCTGATTACTGGCATAAGCTGTTTATAAGTGTTCATGTTTTACATTAAAAACACCTGTTCTGTAAATTTCATAACAAATACATGAACCTTAATGGACTAAAATAACTCAAAATCTAGTTAGATTAATGTACATTAAAGTTAAAGAACATTGTTTGTTTTTCTCTATTAGCCTTAATTATGTGTGGGTCAAAATGACCCGTCCATTAGACTTTTACTACAAATTAGATTTTGTTTTTCGTCATGTTTTACAAAACAAAATGTTGCATATATTTGTAGTGTGGTGCAAGCTAGATGAGTTATTTGAATACAAAAAGGTAAGAATATATGCACTCTATCAATTACTGCATATTCATTACTGATCACTGCACAGCTCTGTAGTTTTTCAATGGCAAATAACAACTATTAACAACAAATGTTGTTTATATTGCAAAAAAAATGTATATTGTATATTAAAATGTTAGAATTGTCGTAGTGAAGTTGTTGGCCAGGGTCAATATGACCCAAGAGCAGTACATACATTGCTAAAACCACAAGGATTAAAGAACCCTTTTAGAGGTATAAAGTTCTTTACCACAGATCTTTTTTGTACCTTCAACCGATAACAAGTTGAGGGTGCTTTCATCTGCCTGCAGTTGACCACATCACAAACTCTGTCCTAGTTAGTCAGTGAGAAACTGCCTCTGATCTCCTCCATGCCGTCATTGCTCTTCATTCAGACTGACACACTTGGCGCATCCTGAGCATCCCTTTGTTTAGAAGTACTGTAGGAGAGTGACTGTGAATGTGTGTGTGTTTTATATGGGAAAAGGTCCTTGAATGAAAAGGCTCAGTGCTCAGATGGGGCTGAGTCAGTGACCCCTGCCCTCTTCGTCACAGCTGTGGAATGCTCTTTGTGCTCCAACCAGCAAGCCATCCTAGATAATCTGCTAGTGTCTGCACCTACCCACACCAGCTGATACACAAACAGCGTATGCTCACACAGTCTTCCCACAGTGCTGCGCCACTGAATTTGAAGTGTTTGAATGACATTTCCTGTCTCTGTATGAATCTTCTTAATTGCTCTACAACATCTCCATCTTCTCCAAACGTAAATGAAACAGTGTCCA